AATTCTTATAGCTTGAGTTCCAAATATTATTTGAAAATCGCATCGCTATGAGTATTGGTCAAGCGTATATTTACTATTTACTAGTGGACCAGCAATCTAAAGGTGCTAGGAGCGGACGCATTCGCTGCGGGAGCCTCGCGGTTTCCCGCAACTGGATTTTTGAACTGCGCTTGTGATTCGTTATATATTAGATAATTTACTGCTCAATCCCCTCAAAACTTCTAAATTATTTGGCTGCATATCTTTTCAATTTGTCAATCTGCGTGCAAAAGAAAAATAAGTGGTTGTCGATGACGCAGGTAATGTGTGTAGCGCAGACGCTGTTGCGGCGCGGTTCCAAGCGTCGTGCCTTTCACTATATGCTGTCGTAAGAACAAAGGTAGGGGACTATACGTCGCCGAGAGTAGGCGGTCCCGCTGGACATCTGCAACAAATAAACATTCCAGTACATGCACAGGCTATCTGCTGCATTTTCCGCGCGGACCCTCCCCCTTTCGGCGTGGTCCTCTACCCGTAAAACAGCTTCTGCTGTCCCTCCAAATAACCTTAGAAAGGTGCCTTAGTGCTACCCAGGAATAAAGCAAGGAAAACTTATGAATTTTTTGAAAAAACTGAACCTCCATATCGTTCCTGCTCCCTGAACGTGAAACTTAGCTCCTTTCCTGTAGCTTCTAAAATTCTCAGTTTTAGGCAGTAACATTTGATGAACACGACGACGATGTGATAAGGGAAGTCCCGCTAACATTGAACTCTCGAAAAATGAGCAATGGGAACGGAAGTGTGAAGCGAAGTATACCGCCAACGTTGAAGCCCGTCGTTGATGCCAGGCTGAATAGTCCCGAGGTGGACTGGATCAAGAATGCCTTCCTCTATATATGGTTCGTTCCATTTTTGAGTCAGAAAATATTTCTTCTGAATCTCAAATAATCCGAAGGTGCGTTCAAAAATATTTCGCTCTGATATCCAGCCTCTTTATGTAGTTAAATAATTTTGCAAGTAGCTTGCTTCTATTTGGAAAATTCAAAATGGTTTTTCAAATTTTTATTTCAAACTCAAATTACCTCGCTCCAAGGATTTCCCGGGCGTTACTATAGCACACTTTCCGAATCGTTATGGTTAAAGTGCGCAGAAATTGTGGAAAACATCTTATCATTCCCTTCATTGGCAGTAAATCTTTTGTTCTTTCACGACTTCCCTCACCCACACCCTGAAAAATCTCGGACCACCGTTGAATGAGTCTCAGACTTGAAGAAACTTTTTTTTACACAACTTTGGTAAATATTATTTTGGTTATTTTACATGCTTGAATTACACTTTCCGATTTGTTTGCTAGTTGCCCTTGAATATTTTCGATTCGCTACCATTCTTGATTTCACTGAGTACATCCAGTACCACTCGTTACTTTTTGTCCAAAGAAGCTCAACGTTTCTGAAAACTTTACATTATTTCAGCCCCCGTGATGTCCTCACGCTGCATCGGGTTGAAAATTTTGCTGAATACGTGGAAGTCGTTGCCATTCGAAATACGTCAACCGAGTCAGTGATGTTCAAAATCAAAACCACCTCACCAGAGAAGTTCCGAGTGCGACCGAGTATGGGCACCATATCACCCGGATCTACTGAAATCATTCGAGTATATCTTCAAAGTGGTGAGTCATAAGAGCAGTTGGAGATTTAGATTTTTTCATGAAGTAAATTGTCACTATAACCCGCGTTTTTATCTACTTTTTCTTATTTCCTTTTCTATCTCAACATCACTATATAAAGCAGTGATTAATGAGAAGTTTCTTCTAATCGCTTTGAACAGGGAAAAAAATCATGGATCAATCACAACTTTGAAAATTTTATTGAGATCCCGACGGTAATTTGCACAGTATGGGCATAAATAAATGCGAAAA